TGAGAAACCAACAAAGCTGTAGTTTCAGAGTAGATGGCATGAAGCCCAACGCGCATTGTCATATGGGGGTCCAAAGAAACCACCTTTGAGGATTGTGCCATCTCTGAAACCACTAAAGGGAATAGGCGGGAATAGGATTCTTGCGGATGAATGGAGTGATCAGAAGTTCCAGGTGTGATTTGCACCGAGTTGTGGTAACACCCAACGTATTTAGAACACTGTGACAGGTCAAGTCGACCCAGAATGAGCATGAGCGGCAAGTCGACCCTGTCAAGACTCACTTGGCAAGCTTTGGCTGTTGACCCGTATTTCATCGTGTTTCGTCGCCTTTCTCTTGCCAATCATACGGATGGCCAAGTGGTCCAGCGCTTGACTTGGCAGCCGGAGGCGTCTCAAGGACTTCGGCCCCGCGATCGAGCAACTGCCGGGCCTTCCCAGATGTGGAGCAACTGGGGGTGGGTCCAGGCAGGCAGTGATGACAGGCTGACGGTTCCCAGCTTGCTGGATCTACCCTCCGACTCATGTTCCATGGTTGGCACCACCTCTTTGGGTCGGAACGTCAGGAACAGGGTCATTCCTCAGGCGGGGCCTCTGGATTCCACCTCGTCCGAGTGGTAAGATTAGTATCGAGTACTCCGAAGATTCGCATGGAACCTGAAAACCACTATATAACCACTGGTTTGTTGAAGCTAGTCTTCCAAAGGTTCATGTTGAGGTTCCATGTGGATCCCTTCCTAGGTGTATCCAACAGTTGCACCTTAGATCTTCGATCTGAGATCTTGGCCAGGCAGCGTGCGCTCAACTTCCACCAGGCGCACGTGATACCTGGAACTTCCTCAGAGTGTGTTTATTTGTTTTTCGATCTGCGGCGTTTTCACAGCCTTATATTTGAGTCTGCGGATGGTTCTCTAGTTTTCTGATGTTTTTTTTCTGCTTTTCCACTGGCGTTTACACACAAGCTAAGGGCGTTTATTGGTGAACCAAAGGCGTTTTAGCGGATGTTTATTTTGGTTGCGGATGTTTATGTGGTTCACAGACCTAAATAAAGGTATATATATATATATTGAACCACCGACCAAAAAACAAAAGAATAAACACCCACGAGGTTGCAGGTATACTTGGGGGTGGGAGTTATGAGTTAAACAGATCGCTTCAGCACGCCCCAAAGGTTCGAAGATGACGCCCAAACGGACGATCGACATGGGCCACGACTGAAGCTTCTTGTTGTTTCCAAATATATATTAAGTTCTTCTAAGCTCTTCCTAGGTGATGAGAGTGGAGCACCACGATGAGAGTGGAGCACCTCATTTTCCGTGATATATGTGTGCTTGCTGTAAGAGCATCGTGTTTCCACGACGCTGTCATCCTTTTTTTGCACAACGTGATTATCAACGGGTTGTGTGACAATGTTTGAGCTGGGTGAATGCCACTGTCAGACCCCAAGGGTTTTGATCATGAACATTCATGAACTCTACCTGGACCCGACTTCACAGGTGTTTCCTGGTGATATGTTTTTTGGCTTTTCAGAATCTTCCCATTTCATGACGGGCCCGTTGTTTGCTCCAAAAAGAGACCTCCTGTGGCTGGGGGTATTGGGATGACGTCCGGCCACCTCCCAGATGCGCTTCGAAGACTGCGAGGGCAAAGCCGCTGTCTCGGTGGATGGGATGGGTTGGGGGAGGAACTCCTACTGTAGTCATGCGTGCATAGCACGATGCACTTTCTGTGGCAGCCTGGCGGCTATGACTATGACTTACTAGAGTGCTTATACTAGCATATTATAGCATATGCTAATAGGCTTTGGCCTTTGGCTCAACAATGTCCCCAAAGCCTAACCAAAAGAGACTTCGTCCAATCACCTGCGGGTTTGCCGGGGCCGGTTGTGAGGCCGCCCTCCTTTCTTCGGAATCGGACGGCACTGGACCGGTGGAGAAGCTCATGTCCCAACACAGGTGTTGAAAAACCTCACATGAAGCACTTAGAGCGGACGGCTGAAGCAGAAATGAAGCAAACACATTGGACATGGAAGCATCTTCAACAAACAGTCGAAAAACCGAGCACCGTGAAACCCACAGCAGTGTTTCACAGCGAGTCCTCTTGTGTTTCCTGTCATGTGAAAAGAAATCACCGACTGTCACCAAACGACGGCGTCGTGAGCACCAACTGAGGTGAGTGCCTCCGACTTGCGCACGCTGGCGGGGGCGAGCTGTTCGGTGGGAGGGGTGAAGCGTTTGGCCAAGGGGACCGAGGTTTCCTCGTGGCGTTTGGCCAAGCGTTGGGTTTCTTGCAAGGCTTGGTGTTTCGCCATTCTTTGTCAATGTCAATTGGTTCTTTCTCCCATGGAATTGTTTGGAAGCAAGTGAGGGCAATGCAATTTGTACCATATGAGATGGAACAACAAATCCGCTGCCCATGCAAACGCTTCAAAAAAACCTGACAGGAACCCTCCAAATCCCTGCTCTCATGATAGATGTGAATGGCCTTTGCCATGCCTGCCAGAGTGCTTGGAAAGACTGCTGCGTTGCAAGGCCCACTGAATTGGCCCACGCTGCAAGCCCCATGGCCATGGCTGGTAATATCAGTACTTTCACTTTTGTCCAGGCTCAAAAGAGACGTTCAGAGAGAAAGAGCGTGCACGGAAAAAAAAACATGTCCTGCCACAACCTCAGCAAAGGAGGACACCAGACATGCAAACCTCATGACAGCCTTCCCAGCCTTCCTCAAACCACCGATCCGGCCCGTCGACTCTCCGTCATGATCCACCGATCCTCCAGCGGTGCCAGCGGTGACGGCTGGCACTTCTCACCACCACCATCCTTCACCAGGGGCCACCAGGTTTTGATGCACCAGCTGCATGAGGTGCAAAAGAAAGGCGAGACTATGGCCATTTGTGGCAAACTCTACGAATTGGTTCAAGTGAATTTGAAAATCCTGTCTTGGAAAACAGCCCGGCAGCATCTACAAGAGTCTTTGCGGATACTGCAGGCTTGGCCAGGGGATGACCAGAATCCTCGAACCGCGGACACTTTGCGCAAGCTTGTCATAGTGGCAGCGGAGACAGAAGACTTGCATCAAGATCTTTCGGATTTGATGCATGCCTTGCAGCATTGGCAAGAGCGAAAGCAGGGGGTCAAAGTGCATTTGGAGACCCAGAGTGCTATTGCAGGCACTCTTCACTTTCTTCGCTTTGTGCTGGTTGGAAGCGGGGATGTGAAGCAGGCCATCCAGTACTTGCAAGAAGTCATGCAGAAAGAGCAGAATCTTCCTCCTGAGGATGTTGATCAACACCTGTGGGCAGCTACTTTAGACCAGCTTGGTGTGGTGACTGCCATGACTGGAGACTTGAAGCAAGCCTTCATGCACTTGAACGAATCCCTGCAGATGAAACATGCTATATACGGTGACTGTGCCAATCCAAGAGCTGCAGCAACGTTGCACAAGCTTGGAGCAGTGACCAAGGAGAGAGGACATTTGCAGCAGGCACTGCGATACCTGAAAGAGTGTTTGCAAATGCGCCGGTCTTTGAATTCTGGTGTCGATTCTGGCATTGCAGCCACTTTGCACCAGATTGGTCTTGTGACCGCCATGACTGGAGACTTGAGGCATGCCCTGCAGTACTTGCAAGACTCCTTAGGAGTGACACAGAATTTGCATCATGGGGACCACCTTCATTCTGCGACGACTCTGAGTGAGCTTGGCGTTGTGACAGGCCAGATGGGGGACCTGACACAAGCTGAGAAGTACTTACAAGAGTCCTTGCGAATCCAGAGGTCGTTGAAGAGTGATGTCGATCCGGGGATCGCATCTACTTTGCACCAGCTTGGAGCTGTAGTTGGGGAGCGAGGGGACCTCCAGCAGGCAGTTCAGTACTTGAACGAATCTTTAGCAATGCAACAAGCTTTGTATGGTACTGGTAACAGCTACGGAGTAGCTCTCACGCTCCATATGCTTGGCTACTTGATGGTGGAGGCTGGGGATTTCAGTGAGGCCCAGCAATACCTTCAAAGGTCATTTCAAATGCAGCGGTCCCTTGTTGGTGATGACTACAGTTCTGAAGTCCAAGTACTTTTGGAAGAGCTTGCTCATGTTCTTGCTCACAGAGGAGAGGCCTTTCTAGAGCATGCCTTGCTCGACCCTACCTTCGCTCTTTCCAAGGACCGACCCAACGACCAACGGTAGAGCGAGCTCTTCCTGTGACGGACGCGTCCTTCAATGCTTTTGGTGCTACCTTCGACTACCACAATACTGTTAGGGGAAAGAGGGGAAAGCAAGATGAAGCCAAACAGAATAGGCCTTGGCTAGTTGGGTCGGCGATTTCCGCATGTGCTTACACAAAGGTCAGGGTTCAGTGCGGCAAGTGTTATGATCACACTATAGTGCTGACTCTTATCAGGCTAAGAGGGAAAGAGGCCGTGCAAGGAGCAATAGTGGGTTCAAATCTTTTTGACAATTTACGAGCTGTTCTAGGGTGTCACTGTCTTCATGAAACCTCGCCAATCTCTCTTGCAACAGGGCCGACACAAGAACCGGGGCTTGTTCTGAGGTTGAAACTGCAGATTCCACAGAGATCCACAGAGGCTAAACTGGGTGTGTGAATCACCACATTTGCGGTGATTTATCAGGCGTTGCTGTTTTTGCAGGACGATCTACGCTACCTCATCGAGTGCTACAGAGCCTTGTCTCTGGAACTCGACTATCAGCGAGTGCTCCACGTCAGTCGCAGTGGCCTCGTAGCAGATTCGGACAGCAACTCGGCTCAGCCTATGAGGCACCAAGACCAAGCACCCTCCGATGGTGTCCAGCAGAATGACGAAGGAGCTCCTGGCAGCTGCAGGCCTTTTAGGAAGAACGCGCGTCACCAAGGAACGAGCTTGATGATGGCTGTACAGGAGGCATTAGCTGGAAATGACTTTGGGTATGTTAGAGTCAGTGAGCTCATTACGGCTCAGGCGGATGTCAATCACACCTGCCATTCTCCGAACGGGCCCAGTTTGCTGTCCATGGTGGTGCTGGCCAACAACGCCAGACTTACTACCATGCTGTGCCAGGCAAAAGCCGATGTTGCCCGTGTGTCCGAGTCTCCGAGTGCCATTTCTTTGGCACATGGGAGGCGGATGGTGGCCTCACTCGAGGCCATGGCCCGTTTTCCTGAGTGCTATCGCGCCGACGATTTGACTCCAGACCTCGTCCGGCTGCTGGTGAAGGGAACGGACATCAATTGGGCGGATGTGCATGGCCGAACGGCGCTGCACCAGCATGCTGCTGCTCAACGCCTGGAAGCTGCGAGCCTATTGGTTCAGCACAAGGCCAGGATTGACGTCAGAGACTCTGGAGGCAAGGCACCCATGGACTTGGTTCCTGAAATGGCTGAGGAAGGAGCACAGTGGCAGTCTCTTCTCAGCTTTGTGACGCTCGCGGTGGGTTTCAGCGGAGATGAGATGGCACTTCCCATCTCTGAAGTGAATGTTCAGCAAGACTTTGTCCATTGCGTGAGGCAGAAACTGCGGGAATACTACCAACTTCGAGGTGAGTCAGTGTCCTATTTCACACTTCGAATCATGGATGGAGTCTCGGGCCATGCTCTAGTCCTGAAGCTACGTATGTCGAACACTGCCTTTGTTTTTCACATATATACTGGACCTATCGCTTGGTTTGTTTGACAAACCAGCCTGCTAAGGACAGAACATCTTGCAGATTGGCTCATGGGAAGCTTTGGGCAAGCCAAAGCGTGTGACAATCGCCCGTGGAAACTTTGCTGTGCAAAGCCCAGACACAGAGGAGCAGACGAAGGAGTTCTTGAAGCTGGCAGGGCAGGTGGGCACCGATGCTGATCAATTGATTCGAGGCAGGACCATGAGAAACTCCAAAGTCAGCTGCCCCAACAAGGGGGTGAAACTGATGAACCTGATAGTATCCCAAAGGCCAAGCGCCAACGGAAAGCACGTGTCGTGTGCTCATGATCAGTTTTTAGCCATCAGTTGGTCCTTGTTCCTGGTCTGTTTGGATGTGTGCATCACGGCGCATCTCAGGTCACTTGCTGAACTTTCAAGATCCAAATGTTACCGATGAGCGAGGCGAGACCGCAGCCTTCAAGGCCTCTAGAAACTCTGACCTACCAAAGCTGGAGATCTTGGAATTGGGATGTGCCGACTTCAACCAGGCAGACGCTGGACCAAACCAAAGCGAGACGGTGATTTCCAGCTGGTGAGAATCAACCAGCCAAGGGGTGTTCAATGGTCTTCATTAACTCGGGCGATTGTCGTGATTGAAACGAACACAGTTGGCCGTGGTTCGCTCAAAGCCCACCCCATCCCAAATCCATTCTGTTGGAATATCCCGTTCAGCTGGCGTGTTCAGCACTCTGATGGAGGCCAAGTAGCTTAAGCATCATCATGTGGGACGAGGTGAACTGGATTGACGGAACTGCAGTCCCACTCAAACGATGGAAGAATTTCTGGATCACAAAAAGGGTGAAACAAACTGAGTCGATCACGGATTTGCTGTGTGTGTTTTTTGGATTTGTTTGTGGTGCAGCATTTCTGCCAACAGCATGTTGAATAAAGAGTTGAAGTTAAACCATATCTGCCAGTGTTGATCTTGGTCGGTCCATGATCATACAACCAGCCTCCCATCAGTAACATGCTACTTCTCTCAGTATTGTAGCACCCTCCAAAACAATTTTTGGGACTGCATTGGACTGGCTACCCTCCCTCCAAGAATCATGGAAGCTGACCAGGACCCTCTTGTAGAGGAAAAGGCCTTCCAGGGGTCTATGATCCACTCTCATGATTGTTTCAGGGAGTATGTATATATATATATACTAGAAGCATAATGAAACCCATCACAACATATCAAAAGTATTCAATTTTTTCCACGACGCGGCGATGATGGGAAGTCTTATAAGGGGTCTCGGAAATAGGAAACATGACAAAAACACCATGCCGGAGAGCACATTCTAGAATCCATTCCACAGTCCCCCGGCCATGTTTGCCACATGGTGATACAAGAGACATCACTCTCGCCATGCGCAGTAAGAATTGCTTGAAAAAAGGAGAGACTCATCGACCGATGTTCCGAAAGAAGCGATCCAACATGTGCAGCCAAAACGCACCCAGGACATCGATGGTGCCACTCCACTCTTCGTTGTTGCGCAGCATGGTTGGCTTCCTGGAGCCAAGTTCCTGGTGTTGTACAAGGCTGAAGTGGACAAGTCGTTCAAGACCAATGCAACGCCAGCCTACGTTGCTGCCCAAAACGGGCATTTGGACGTCGTTGGCTTCCTGGTGGAATCGAATGCCAAACTGGACGCTCGAACAGCGGACGGAGCCACCCCCCCTGTTCATAGCCTCCCAAATGGGTCACTATGGAATCGTGCAGATGCTTCTCATTGCCAGAAGCTCCCTCGATCTCCCTAACCAGACTGGTGCAGCTGCGCTGTTCATTGCTGCCCAGCAGCTCGGGTCTCGAATCCTGTGCACATTTTGATCTATACGAGTTGACTTGTCTTTCTTTTCACCGGTTTCACGAAGCACGAAGCTTCCGCGTCGCATTCCGAGGAACGACCATAGTGACATCGTGGAGCTACTTCTGTCCTGGCATGCAAACCTTGAACAAAGGACTGCAGGAGGTGCCTCGCCTGTCTACATTGCTGCTCAAAAGGGGTGCGATGACTCGCTTACATTGCTCCTCAAAGCGGAAGCCAATCCCAACGTAGCAGCCAATGACGGAGCGACACCACTCCTGATCGCGTCGCAGAATGGACACCAGAGCTCCGCCGGCATCCTTTTGTCCTCTAGAGCTCTCGTCAACAAACCGATGTCCACTTTTGCAACTCCTCTTTTCGTCTCGGCTCAAAATGGTCATTTGGGCGTGGCCAAGGTGTTGGTTGAATGGGCAGCCGATGTGCAGCTCTCTTTACAGAATGGGACGAGCCCTGCCTACGTCGCGGCCCAAAATGGACACAAAGCCATGATCAAGTTTTTGTGTGAGAAGAAAGCCGACATTGAAGCAACGGGTGCTGGTGGCGCAACGGCTTTCTTCATTGCTGCGCAAAATGGCCGCCTAGGAGTCTTGCAGTTTCTCCTAGAGATTATCAAGCTGAGGCAGGCCAAGTGTGTATTTGACTCGGTATTTGCCACAACTCTCACATCAGTCCGGACGAGTCTCTCACATCAGTCGTTGTACGAGTGCTTCCTTAAGTTCTTTTGCTTTCTTCTTGCAGCATTCGCTTAATGGAATGCATGTGTCCCTCATGTTTGTGGAACACCCCCTCGGCGATACTGGGGCAACGACGCGTCTGTGTTGACGCATGAGCTTCGCCCTCCACGCGACCGGAGGACCTCGCCGCGACAGATCATGGCAGAGGTTTGGCGGCGGGGGGAGGGGAGCGGCAAATGCATATAGTAGAAAGTGCAGATTCTGCTTTTGGGGCGCGAATGCTTACTTGGACACTTGAGAGCTCCAACTTCTCTTCTGTCGCATGCCAGAGCTCTCTTTTGGAGAAATGCGTGAGCGAAAACGTGTGAAGGTCTCGCACCAGAGCTTGGAGATCCACCGAACATAGGCATTCTCAGATCTGAGATCCAGCAGTTCAGTGAGAGTTTGATCTCGAGACCTGTAGGGCTTCTTGGGTGATGCGGAGGGATGTGCTGCTTGAGCACTGTTGGAAGGCACAGCCCGAGTCTTTGAGTGTCCATGAGGCAGGCACTGCTTCAAAACAAGTTCAGACAACGAACACCTCTCACGGCCCTTGCCTGTCACACAGCTACAAGCTTGTCACAACCCCTTGCCTGAACGTTGCTTCCAAAAGGTGGTTTGCTCGAAAGGCGTCGTTTGTTATTGCTGTCGTCGTCTGTGTCATTCCCGGTCCCCCACCAAAACCAAGACCCTTCGCCCTGGACCCGCCGTCGGAGCGACGCACCCAGTGCGGTGTGGACACCTTCAATGGCTTCGTTGGATGAAGCGTGCTGCCTCCAAGTCCTATTTTTGCGGCAGGCAACGCAAAATATATAAGTCTTTTGGGCACCAAGCTCCAAAGAATCCCCAACACCCGTTGAACAAGATTTTTGCACGTCACGCCTACGGATGAAGGCCTGCACATTCAATAAGAAAATAGGCCGAAGACGAACGGAAGAAACGAACGGGGACTGGTTTATCTCAATTCCGCGGTTTCGACTTCAAGGACAGAAAGCACGTTTGCAAACTTCAACTTGCTGTTTCTTTGAGCTATTGAGGCATTAGGTTGGGTTGGGACATGTTTTCTGTTCTCTCCTGTCAGGCCTGCAGCTCTTTTGGGGCAGCTGGACGTGAAGACCAATGATAAATCTACGCCCCTGCTCGTGTCATCCCAGAATGGCCACATGGATGTGGTGCTGTTCTTGACGCAGGACGCTTGCAGACCAGAAAGATATGTCCAGAATCAGCTACACTTCTCCGACGAACCACATGGAAATGGGGGGGTCCCCCGCCTTTGGGACGCCTACTTTCCTTTTATAAACAGGGGGGGTTTGGCCCACTTGTGCGAGTGTAACGCTACAGCGTTTTGGCTTCGTTTTCCTGATTCTGCTGGGAGAAGATCGATCGATCTGGGCGGAGAAAGTGGTCGACGAGTTGGTGCAGCGGCGAAGTTTCCCATGTCTGCCACCCACATGAATGCAATCTCCTGTGACTGTGTTTTTGAGCTATTTTTTGCAAGTGTATGGTACAACTAAGTGTTATCACGTGTGTGTAACACTGTGCGGCCACATTTGGTTTGTCAAAGGATGCATTTGCTAAGGACTTGTTTCTGTTTATGCGATGCATCACACAGCAGCGGCATGTTGCATTTCGGAACGCCACATCGCATGAAACAGGGTGCATCATGAGCATGCGTTCCTTCCACATTTGGTAAACATGTAACATGCATGAGTGATAGATTGGAATGTGTAGGATACTTTTGGTTAAACCCAATGGATGTTTGCCCGAAGGAATTCCAAGTGCTTCCTGTGGCCGACATGGCGCAGGCGCATGACGGCGGTTCGTTTTGATGGACTCGGTCAAAGCTAACTCGGATGTTTGATCCAAAACCTTGCAAACATCTGGTTTTGAATCCATAAATGTGTTGAATATATTTAACAGGACAGCCCTCCAAATAGCAGTTATCCTTGAAATACATACGCGTGACATCCAGAAGAAGAGAGTACAATCCAGGTGGTTGATGTTTGTGATTGGGTGAAGGTCATCAACCACCAGAAAGAAGGCGGTGCTTCAGCTTTGTATTTGGCATCGCAAAATGGCCATGCCAGTGTGGTGATCCATCTCTTGACACTCCGTGCCAGCCTCTTGGGCGGAACCGGCTGAGCAGAGCCTGCGGGTCGAAGGCACCCCTGAAGCGCCGGCTGAAGAATTTCCATGGAGAAATGCGATCGTCATGTTCCACCTTTTTTCATCTGCAGTTGTTTCTGTGTTTTTTTAAGCGTCATGCGCCATGTTTGCGTGCACGATGCTAGTACCAAAGCCGCAAGAGTTTCTGGAAAGCTACCGAATACTCCAGGGGCAATTATTCAAGTACTTTTGAGGAAGCAAATAACAAGCAGTCTTCCTTCAGTTGGTTGATTTTTGGAACGGATGAATCATGTTCTGGTCCAAGGAGTGGATCAGGGCTTGACGGGGACATTGGAGACTCCCTTGTTCATTGCTTGCCAAGGCAGGTCCGATTTCTCCTATCGATCCCGGTTGGGAGAAAAGAACCCGTGGGTGGATGATAAATGATACATGATACCCGCTTGGAAGAGAAAACCCTTTCTTCGATGATACCATCGGGTTTGGACGTTATTTTTTCTAGGGCAGGGCCAGGTAGAACCAGGGCAGAGGGTAGTCTTCGCTCGTGCAGCTTGGAGCGTGGGTAACTAGTAACATGTCAAGTCCCATCGCATCCAAGCTCTGGAGCTGTTCATGACTAGTTTTGCTCCTTGAGTCCAGATGTATATGACTATGCTTTTCATGACTCGTTTGGGTTGGACGACAGCGATATCCAAGTCCAACAGAAGTCCCGATATATCCCATGCATTGGCCGGTTGGGTGCGCCGAAGTCCAGGCGGCCATGAAGCGATTGTGACTGAGCTCCTCCAAAACGATTCTGATGCTAACCAGCTCAAGCACGACCAGACAAGTCCCTTGTACATTGCGTGCCAAAACGGTCACTCCCGCTTGGTACCTCATTTGCTTGAACAAGGCGCTTCTGTCAACCATCAGAACCAGAATGGAGCTACGCCCTTGTTCATCGCCTGCCAGAGTTTTGGTTTGGAACTGTTGAATTCTTTTTGAGCAGTGGTTTGTAGGCTGACCTGACCGATGGCTTAAGAATTGCCAAGCGGTTTCGGAAAAAAGGAATGCGACACAAACTCAGGAAGGGGCACAATGGCATTGTGAGGAAGTTACTGGAGAAGCGTGCAGATCCCGAGCTAGCCCTTGCAAGTCATGCGACCCCGCTCTACATCGCATCATCTAAAGGGCATTTGGGCATCGTGAGGGAGCTCCTGGCGATCCGTGCAAACGCCAATACAACGCCCCGACACGAGACGACTCCGCTTTCAGTTTCAGTGCAGAACAAGCATGCTGAGGCTCAAACACCGACAGCTTGTTTACGCAAGACGGCATAGACTGCCAAAATAGGAATCATGTTTCGTGCCCCTTTCCCACGCATACACACAGCCTCACTATAGCAAGCTATAAGATGATAACGCATCAAATAAAAGCATTCGGTGACGCGATCGTGCTTACTCCTTGCGCCAAAACTCCTGCCACCTTTCTTGGCAGGTGGCTACATGTCTACTTGGAGCGACAGTGAACATCAACAAGGGTGAGATTAAAGGAGGCCTGACAGCTCTTCATTTTGCCATCATCGGTCAGGAGTGGGAGATCGCCTCCGCTTTGATCGCCCATGGTGCCAATCCCGAGCAGAAGGACAGGGTCAAACAGAGCTGCCTCGGGGCTTTTTAAGGTAACGAAGCATCTTGAATTTCAAGATAGGTCTGACACAATAAGAAGCAGTTTGCCCATTGTGTCATATAGTTATACTAGTATAGTTACTAAAGGTGCATCTTCTATCTTCTATCATTTTCTATTGTTTCATATGCATTTTACTTCTATTCATCACATAATTCCATGCAGTGCCCTTGCAGTCATTGTAGTGTCATGGTACACGTGACCAATAGGGGTCGCCCGCAGCCATGATCAAGCATGTACATGTGTTTGTGTTTGTTTCGTTCTTTTTCATGATGCAATTGGATCAAGATGTGTGCGCGAATTCTGCTGTAAACATGTGTGCGCCTGTGTTTCAGGATAAGCACGGCCGTGACAGCTGGAAGCTTGCAGAAGGAGTGCCTGAAGGACTTCTGAAGCTTCGCGGCATCCAAATGACCCGCGGATGATCCAGTCAATCAGTTTCAGGTGATTCAGTGACGACCTTTTTTGATGGTCGCCACCACTATAGTACTCGCTCTAATTCGCTTTTTGAGGGCCTGAGTCAGGCTCCCAAGAAGATGTTTTCTCTGCTGAGCTTGGCTTCCCGGGGGGCTGCTTGTCTGAACACAAAGTGGCACCACCTCTCGGATCGTGGGAAGCAATTTCTCCTGTATGTTGCGGAGGCTCATTGACGTTCTGTACGCACCAATTGGATAGTTCTACTTTTATGCATGATACGTTACATGGAAGAGTTCGGTTGCACAGCCAATTTCTCTTGGTGTGTACTATCGATGGCATCCGGCGACAGCAAGCTGGTGTCTCACTCCAGATTGCAAAAGATTGTACCTCGGCACTGCGCCGAGACTGTTGTTTTCTTTTCAGCTGAGAGTGGCCGACTACCCATTCAGGATTCAGGAATCGCCTAAATCGAATGTTTCCATACGGATGTGTTGGGTTAAGCTCAGACATGAGGTTCTTTGGAACTCCAGGCCAGCATGCTTAGCCGACAGTCGCGCGGATCAGCCCGCGTGGCATTCACATGCATTCACCCGGGCCAAGACGGCGATGGCCGTTGCTTTTGGTATGGATTCATGTGCCATGCATCAAAGCATGTATACGTACCGGCATGTTTTTTCAAGGTACATCGGAAAAACAACTGAAGTGATCTTTTTTGTTCCTCCATCTGGTTTTTCTCTTCAAAAGCCTTTTTCCTCACGTCACTTGGTTTTGCTCGCCACCTGGGGACCGCCAGGTGGCCGCGCACTTGAACCTGGCCTCCTGCCATTTGGAGTCCGAGGCCGCTGATTTAGGACCCGGAAGCACGTCGGACGCGAAGAAGAGGCGCACGGACCCGACCTCGGGTCACATGGCGCCTCTTTGTGTGACCGCAGAAGTGCCGCAGAAGTGTCGTGAAGCCGTTCTTCTGGAGAAATCAAGTGAACTCTGCCCACCCAAATGGAACCAATCAACATCCATCAACCCTAAGTTTCTGTGATCAGTGCTTCGGTTGAGCAGCATGGCATCCCCGAAAGATTAATGTCAAAATATGCCGAAGATGGATCCGCTTAGAGTCGACGGTGGCTGTTCTAGCACCTAAAGGGTCCATGGCACAGCTCACAACCACGATAAGTTGACAATAGTCAAACGTGATACTGGATGAAGGATATTGATATATATAAAAGCAAATTAGCCCTCAAAATAGCAGAGCCCCCTGAAGGCACTCCATATTGACAAAAGTACGCCGCCAGGCCTGCAAACCTGATCAAACCTGTTTTGATTCTGCAACTTCCAGCCAACCTGCTTCTGGAACATCTCCAAGCTCAACCGAATCATTCTTGCAGACTAAGATCTTCCACAACTCAATACCTAGCGCTCGGACCGACTTTCCGTCTACCACCCATCTTCGGTCAAAAAATAGCAATGCGAATCAACCACAATAGAGAGAAGCAGGCACATATCGAAGTGGATCTGGAGCAACCCGGACAATCCAAAAAGAATTTAATATAGCGAAAAGTGTGCACATTCTTGAGAGTTGACCCATGAACTTGAGGACTCTCAGTTGTTTGAAGCCGCCGTCCAGCGCGTCGTACGCCGTGTTGGCATCTTCTCGTTTGGCGAGGCACCTGAGGCAGCTCTCAAGCATGCCTCCACTGCTGCAGCTGGGCGAAAAATTCAGAGCGACCAGATGGGACTTCTGGGTTGACCAGTATTAATTCAATTCATATTATATATATATATTATATAATTCATGCATTTAATCACTTAATTCCTTGTTCATCAATATAGGTACCGTGCATGGAGAAACGAAGTCCAATGGAACCATTTCCTCACGGAATGCAAGATTGATCGATGAAGAGGTAGGTCACAGGATCTGGCAGAACAAGGGCAAGTCGCTACGAACGGAGCAAGGACGCTACGCAGGTAGCTCCTGGCATCGCTACTATAGTAACAAGGGCATCGCGTCGTCGTCGTCGTAGTCGTCGTAGTCGTAGTCGTCGTAGTCGTAGTAGTAGTAGTAGTCGTCGTAGTCGTAGTACTTGTAGTAGTAGTAGTAGTAAGGGAGACGTTACTAGGAGCAAGAAGCTACTAGGGGATCCTGGCATCGCTACTAGGAGCAAGGACGCTACGAACGGGGCTCCTGGCCTTACTACTAGGAGCAAGGACGCTACTAGGGCAACGCTACACAGTTTGTTGCATCGTTGGATCTCCTTTCCCGCCGATCGTTGAAAAGCTGCTGGGCATCCAAGGCGCAGCTCAGTGGTCAGGTACTTACCAGGTGTGGCTGGGATGGGATTTGCTGACATGACCGCTGACTGGTGGCTTATATATTTAACGATCCCGTTGGCCCGTGGTTGATTTGTCGTTTGATCGTTTAATGTGTGGTCATGTGGTCCGTGACTTTTAGGGACCCCAAAATGTGCTTTGGCCGGTGTTTGATAAGTTGCATTTTACAACCAGCCTTGCTTTAGTTTCATGTGTTTTCCCCACCAAGATGTGCCACCGCCCAGCTAATCAAAGCATCAATAAACCAACACATGATGTACTTTCTTGGGATTCTCTCACGCTCAGTTGGCAACAACTCCAATGCTATGTGCAAAAAAACACGGAACATGTCGTTCCTGAATCTGACGACTTCATCTTTCCGCCTTTTCCTCGCATGTGGCGAGGAGTCCGGAGACCAGCCTTGAAGCACCGTCAGGAGCTGCGCGATCGGGAGCTACCAGTGACCCCGGTCCAAGGATTCACATCGGTTTGGGTTCGAAGGAATCGATCGGAAGTGTGGTTAGGCCATTATCCACCTCACGTTGGGTCAAGAATCACACAAATCGACTGGGTGGGCAACAGGCAGCGGGTTACCATAGTGTCTTATGTTGAAGACTAGCATTGCAGCTATTTGCAGCTCGTACTCTAGTGCCGGCCTTGAGTAGATGTTCTTGATGTGTAAGCGGCTGGGAAAGAGCACCAGAATTGGACCTATGGACAATTTATTACTGCTATATGTTTCCAAGAGGTAGCAGATCACCTGGATCGTTTTGTGGAATCTTTTTGGCAGCTCACTGCGAGTGAAGGGGCATCGAGCAAGCGGGCTGACTCAAGGCTCGAACCGGTCCCACACGAGACATCCCTTGACAGAACACATTCAGCAGTGAGGCAAGTTTGTAGGTTGAAAATGATCGAGCAAAAGCAGGCCAGGCATGTGCATATATATATATAGATATATATGTGTGTGTACAGTAGTCATATAGATTTTGCTGGGAAGTTAGTGCTCAAAGTTGGGCCTTCATGAAAGACTGAAGGTCGACCATCGTCCACCGAAGAGGTTTCGCAGCAAAAACGGCCCGGCGAACCAGCCAGTGCTTCACCCAGAAGCTTCCGGAACCCCTAAGCTTCCTCAGAACCCACCGAGAACGACTTTGCCATGTTGGCCGTCTCCTTTCACAAGGCGCCGTGGTAAGACTTGCGTCGTCTTTCGCTCGAAGGCCGACTTCCGACTTTGCGAGCAGGCCGAACCACAACCGCGTTTTTGTTCAATTAAAAGGGGGGGAGTTGCCAGGCATTAAGTGTTTTGCCGTTCAGCGGGTGCGAAGACATGGGGAAGAGAGCGCACCAGCCGTTTGCACGTATTTTTGGAGCGACTGTCCTTCTTGGTCAGGTGGCTGAGGCGCAGGAAGCTCTGAAGGCGAGGTATTGTCCTGGTGAAGGCCGTGGGAATGTCCTCTATCACTCATGTCAAGCAAGGCGTGTAAATCCCAAAGCGAGGCACCTGACCATGATCCATTCCATCCACAATTGCGGATAGATCAAGAATAGTGCTTTTCAAGGAAGGGAAGGCATCCCGTAGGTCGGTGAGATTTTTTTTCCGCCCAAGGTTCATGCCATCAGTTTTGCACGTTTGGTGACGCGTCGAAAGTTTTGTTGGGATCTCAGACTTGGAACCCCCAACTCGGGCTGAGACCACAGTGTTGAAAACCAGTGGTACCAGGTACCATGATGTTTGGCTCTATTTTTGAAACCCTCGGTGTCTAACGGCACTTGGGCCACAAGATCCATCACGAGCAACGTTGAAGCGCATGAACTGCGGTCGCTAGATTCCGATGCCACTCGAGAATCCCTTTTGCGTTGCACCTCCCAGATAATAGAAGCACCCAGGCACATGATGGTTTCTACGATATGCTATGAGAGTACAGCCAGAGGCCAGGGTGGATAGATCCTGAAAACAGTCCATCCCTACACCATCCTGGGTGGACTGCCAAGCCCACTGCTTAGGGATCTCTAGAGGGGACACCCAGACAGGATGATCCTGGCAATGCACACTCTTGCTTAATCAACACCCCTCCATGTGGATGGGCGGACTTGCGGGCTCGCTCCCACCATCCGATTGTAATACCTTTTCATATGAGTCAGCATTGCAATCCACAAGTAATTTATCCAATTCTCCACCCATTCATGTATTTCAATATTCTCCACCTCCCTACTTATGTGCTTCCAGAAGGGGGTCCATACTATATCGCTATATATGATATATAATGATATATGCATATGGTGTTTTGTTGGTCCCTTCCGATCCGAAGTTGCACACACCGGTCGTCCTGCCGGGCACAGAAACGACCAGAGCCCACGAACGAGTCGGACCGGTGGTCTCGGTCGTCTCGCCAGGACTGGGGCAAGGCGGTCTTCGCACACACGCAAGCTCGAGAGGCAGGGGGGGGCAGACTAAGGCAAGGGCCCCCTGCTCGAAAAGACCGACCATTCGACGGATTTTCTTATGGCAGGTGTGAAATCCAAACAAGACCTGCAGTATGGGAATCAGGGAGGAAGGCCACGAAGACAACACCTGCAATCCCAAGAAACGCACTGTAGACAGTGGGATCTTCATGGAATGTCCTGCTCTTGGGTCCGGGTGTGGCAGGACTCTTTCATGGTCCGGGTGTAGCGAGCTAAGCTCTCCAGGCTTTGAGAATCGTAG